CCAGGCTTGGCAGAACGAGCGGTCTCGACTTCAGAAGTCAGAACGGACGTTCCACGATCACACCAGACGAAACGGACGGTCTGCAGTAGGCGGAACGGACGGTCCAGTTCAGACCTTCCGTTCTGATCCACCCAGTCCGCCACCACTGGACCGTCCGGTCTGACACACCCAGAACGAACGGTCTAGGTTAGGTCTACGTGATCAGATCACGTTTTCCCGCTTTTTCGGCCCCGATCAGACCCGAAACTGATCTGAATTCATCTGTAGATCAAAAATTCGAACTCCTGCACTCTATGCAACATGAAACATGCAATCTACCATAGATTCAATCATCAAACATGCATAGAAATCAAAGCAAACATGGATTCAAATGATTCAAATCCTAAAACGTGCGTGATTGGGTTCTACGAAATCAAAACAGAGCAACCAGGCTCTGATACCACTGTTGGGTTTCCTGGGATCTCTAGAGCGAATCCTATTCCTAAGAGATCGATTCTCGGGTTTGCGCAGCGGATGTAAAACAAAAATTATATGAAACCCTAGAACCATGCATATATGAGTCGTAAAAACGTTAGAACGCTTACCTCAATCGATCCGGGGCCTGTATCAACTGAAGAATTCGTTCGATCACTTTAGGCAGGAAGATTACCTCGCCCTCTAGACGTATCCACGCCTCGGGATGGATTCCAACGGTTGGAACTTGTCTGCTAGGACTCGAGTCAGCTATTCGGTCTGATGTTTCGAGAAAACGAGACTTGGAAACTCTTGGACCTTTTGGATCTCACCAAAAGTTTTGTCAAAAGTCTGCTCCAGACGGCTGTCCAGGTCTTTTCCTTAATTAGGGTTTTAATCTCCTTCTTATAAGGTGATTTAACCCTAATTTCGGTCTAATTTTCGAAAAACCTGAAGCCTGGAACGGACGATCTGGATTTGCACGCGGACCGTCCGTTCCAAGTGTAGAACGGACGGTCTGCATCATAACGTGGACCGACTGTTCCAGACAACGGAACGGACGGACCACGATTCTGGACCGTCGGGTCTGGACTTGGCAGACCGTCGGGTCTGGCCCTTCTGGTCCGTCCAGTCTGGACCCTTCCGTCTCGGTTTTTCCGTCGTTTTCTCGTGCGTTTTGTCCTTCCCTGCATGTGTGATCATGTAGGCTCATTCGATATAGCAGTATAACCCGAAATCTCTATTTCGGATATACAAGTCATAGGCGGTCTCTAGTAAGACACTATGACTACCTATCTCAAATAGAGTTTATTCGTGATCTTACGAACGCCAATGATGATTCCGGCTGATGATCTTTTTGTAACGCGATATCATATGTCGAACATAAGGCATGGACAAGCCACCTTATTTGATTCGACTGCTTTCGACTGTCTGAAATAGACGACGTTCGTCTATAGTGCGCCACACATTTCTACAGTCTCGCTCACACGAGGGGCCCAACGATATCTCTCTCTTTTATGAGAGGTACAAATCCCGTATTGACTATCTACAATCCAGCACATGATTCGTTTCGTACCTAATACATGCCTTTATAGTCCTCCTGTTACGCAGGACGTTTGACGTATTCAAAGCACACAACTCCTCATGTTGGATTCCGTAGATATCTCAAGTCTTAGGATCCAATCATGGAACCGTCATATGAGATTTAAGTCATGACACTAGTCCATGTGACAATCTCATGCGGGTCAATCCAGTATTTCGTTCTCCATCGAATACCTATGATTGTGATCGTATCCAATACTTATGATCATCTATATGATCATCAATCACACATCATACTAGTCTTTCTATATCATTATTCCCACAATGATACATGACTAAGGAGTTTAGTATTGTTCATAACAATACATGGATTTCATAACATATCAAGTATGCACAATACGTAATGAATCAAACACTCATCCATAAACTCATAGAAAGTGTCAATACATCAAATGTATCTAAATAAAGCTCGCAAAACAGTACATCATAGAGCACTAAACCAACACAGCCTACGAACTCGATATTATCCATCTATAACAGATTGCTAAACGGTTTAAGCCGAACTACTTAAACCCGACCTTCCTCTAGCATTGTCGTTTAGGCCATATAAACGAGAAGCGCATTGAGAAGCTTCATCATGAAGGTCTTCTGGACTCATTTGACTTTGAGTCTCTTCAGTCTTGCAAGTCTTGTTTGATGAATAAGATGACAAAGCATCCTTTTGAGGGGAAAGGACAGAGAGCGACAAAGCTATTGGCTCTCATACATAGTGATGTATGCGGACCAATGAGTTGTCCAGCTAGAGGAGGTTATCTGTATTTCGTTACGTTCACTGATGATTTCAGTCGATATGGTTATGTCTATTTGATGAGACATAAGTCTGAAACACTTGAAATTTGAAATTTTCAAGGCATTCAGAAATGAAGTAAAGAACCAGCTTGGCAAGACGGTCAAGACACTTCGATCTGATCGTGGTGGCGAGTATAGAGCAAAGAGTTCACTGACTATCTGGTTTGTTGTGGTATTGTATCACAATTAACTCCTCCTGGAATGCCACAGTAGAACGACGTGTCGGAACGGAGGAACCGAACATTATTAGACATGGTTCGGTTGATGATGAGTCGGACAGATCTTACGAAGTCCTTTTGGGGCTATATTTTAGATACCATTGCGTATCTGCTGAACAGGAGTCCAACGAAGTCGGCTGAAACGACACCATATGAGATGTGGATGGGGAAGCGTCCTACGTTGTCTTTTGTCAGAATTTGGGGTTGCGACACTTGTGAAGCGTCTGATGACTGGCAAGTTATCCTTCAAGTCTGAAACAAGTGTTTATCTTTAGGCTACCCTGAGGAAACTAAGGGTTACTACTTCTACATTCCGGTAGAGAACAAGATGTCAATTGCCAGGAATGCGACTTTTATGGAGCGAAAGTTCATTTCCAAAAGAGTCAGTGGGAGTAGGATCGAACTTGAGGAAGTTCGAGAACAACAGATAGACGCTGAGCCGAGTGAACAAGTTGAAGACGTTCAATCTGTATCACTGCCAGTTGAGACTCAATCTTCGACTAGTGAACCTCGGAGTTTAGGCAGGATTCGCCAAGAGCCTGTGAACGAGAAAACAGTCGAATCAGATAAGGCGTCTTTTCCATGCCTTAGTTCGACATATGATATCGTGATACAAAAGGATCATCAACCGGAATCATCACTGACGTTCGTGAGGTCACGAACAAACTCTATTCGAGCTAGTTAGTCATAGTATCTTGCTAGAGATCGCCTATGACTTGTATACCCGAAATGGAGATTTCGAGTAATACTGCTATCTCGAATGAGCCTACAGGGTCACACACATAGGAAATGACAAATGTGCGAGAAAAGACGAGAAATTTCCGGAGGCACGGAGGCTAGACCGATCGGTCCAGACCTCTAGACCGATCGGTCTAGGCTTGCTCAGACCAACCGGTTCATGTGCATGGACCGATCGATCCAGAGGTTACGAGCAAAGGTTGCTCGGTCTGGAAAAGTGCCAGACTGATCGGTCCAGTGTCAAGAATTCCTTATCTCACTCTAATTGGGGTTTTAAGGTTGGATACACTTGGTGCACGCCTCCTAATCCTTTGAGCACGAACTCTTAGACCTTTTGAGAGGTTTTGGAGATCCAAAGCCCCGAGAAAGATCCCTGAAACCCTGGCGCACTGGATAACGAGTTTTCAGTCCTAACAGACAAGTTCCAAGCCATTAGAATCCTTTCTATCGTGTGGATACGTGTAGAGGGCGAGGTAATCTTCCTCCCTTTGTGATCGGACGAACACGCTAATTGAAACAGGCCCCAGATCGATTGAGGTAAGTGTTCTAACATTCCTACAAAATCATACATGTATGTTTTTAGGTTTATAGAAAATTTTTGTTTTATATTCGTTGTGCAAACCCTAGAATCGATCTCATAGAAATTAGATTCACTGTAGAGATTCCAGGATTCCCTTCAAGTTCAAGAACAGATTTTTCTCTGCTCCCAAAACACTTTTTGCGAAGAACAAGATTAATTCCTTCTCGCAAGAACATGGAGAATCCTTGGGTGAAGCTTGGGAACGATTCAAGGAATACTAAAGAGCATGCCCTCATCACAACTTCGACAAATACTACCTTCTGTCAACTTTTTTAAACGAATTGAGGGACGAGATAAGGTTCTATATAAGATGCGCCAGTGGAGGAAGCCTTCAAAAGCTAACATTCGATGAGATGGAAGATCTTATCGAGCGAATGGCTAGCGACAGAATCACTCCAACTGAGTTCTCTCAAAAAAGGGTAATATAGAGAACGTTAGTGAAGTCTAGGCTATTAAAGCTTAACTAGCTGAACTGAAGATGCAAATCTTCTCGTCAAACTCTAAAGCCCTAGGCGAATCATCAGAACATATCAGTGGAGACCAGTCTATGTTCTCTCAAGAACAAGGAGTTGAGGATGTCAACTATGTTGCTAACAAATCTTATTCCAACACCTACAACCCTGGCTGGAGTGATCTTAAGAAGAACAATTACCAAAATGTTCCTCAAAAGAACAAGAACCGCACGTTCCAAAACTCAGGACCATTCCAAAGTCAAAATTTCCAACAGAGACCCCAATAATAGTTTTAAGGATATCGAGGATATCAAGGGAACCAACAGTTTCGAGGTCAGCAACAATAACAGCCACAACAAAAGTTGGATCAAACCCCCGACATCGAGTCGATGCTTGAGACGCTCCTCAAGGGCAAGCATCTATGAGCAATACGATGCAAGGGATGGTTACCGAACAAAGTGATCTTAAGAAGCAAATCCAAGGGATAGAGTCCCATGTCAAGCTTCTAGACAACCAGGTAGCTCAATTTGCAGATAAGCCTAGCAGAACGCAAGACACTTTACCTGGTAAACCTGAACCAAACCCTCACGAGCAATGTAATGTTGTCTATAGCGCAAACGCCGTCTTATGAAAAGTTCCTTAAAGACTCATTCGTCAAGAAAGGAGAAAATGGAAGAGGAACCAGTAATCCTGACAGTTGAATGCAGTGTTGTACTGCAACAGAACCTACCAGCCAAGATGGCGGATCCAGAAAGTTTCTCTATACCCTACCAACTGGGCAATGCCTCTATTCGTAGCGCAATGTGTTACTTAGGAGCGAGTGTAAGTCTGTTACCAAAAACCACGTATCACAAGATGAACGTGGGTGAACTTAAGCCCGCTAAGATGATCCTGCAGGTGGCAGACAAGTCAGTGAAAGCCCCTCTTGGGACTTTAGAGGATGTACCACTTAAGGTTGAAAACGTCTACATTCCGATCGACTTTGTGGTAATTGGTATGGACAACATGAAAGATGAATCACTCATCTTAGGACATCCATTTCTCAACATTGTCGATGTTGTGATTCATATCCGAAAGGGATGCATAAAGATGCATATTGGAGATGAAGACATCGAACTCAAGCTGAAACCAAAGTCAGAACGGGCTAAGGAAGAAAGTGCACAGTCGTTGACTATTCTGGAAGAACCGTCTAGTACACTGATATCGCAATCTAGGTGTAGAAATATGATCAAGTAATAATATTCCTAGACTCAACAATTAATCGCAAGTGTACGGATCATGTGCAGTAGCTAGGGTCGAACACAGTGACAAGTAGACAACTGAATCAAATCTAAATCCGAGTCTAAATCCAGAGAAAATAATGTGAGTGTGATGAGAAGGTAACAAAGTAAACGATAAAACGACTGTAATCTATGAATGATGAACACTGCAGACTTCGGGATTGCTTTACATGCAAGGATCTTTCAAAAGATGCAAACTTAATGGTATATCTATCCAGTTCAGGGAATTCAAGCTCTAAGATAGAAATCAACTCTTCCACTACAAAAAAATCCTCGAATTCCAACGGATTTTCCAACAGATTTTCAACGGTTTTCAACGGCGTTTCAACGATGATTTCCGTTAAAATTCCGTTGAAAATTTCCAACGGGTATCCGTTGGAAACACCCGTTGGAAATTTTTAACGGAATTTTCAACGTATTCAATTGAAAAATTGGGTTGGAAATTTCCAACGGATATCCGTTGGAAATTTTCAACGGATTAACGTTGGAAAAATCGGTTGCAAATTTTTAACGGAGTTCCAACGGATGTTTGTTAGAAAACAATTCCAACGGAATTCCAACGGATGCCGGTTGGAAATTTTTTTGGAAATTTTTAAAAAAAATTCCAACGGATGCCGGTTGGAAGTTTTTTGGAAATTTTTAAAAAAAAATTCCAACCGAATTCCAACGGATGCCGGTTGGAAATTTTTTTGAAAATTTTAAAAAAAAATTCCAACGGACATCGAATGAAAATTTGGATTTTAATTGAAAAATCAATTGAAATATATATATATATATATATATTCGAATTCATATATATATATATAT